AATCCCTTACTAGATTCCACTCCTGATTTCTTTCAACTGACCCCTCATCATTCCTCTCTAAGATTCTGCACTTAGAAGCTCAGTGCAGGGACTATATCTGTAGATTCCCAGTGCCCAACATAGTGCCCTACATTCAGAAAGTATTTATAAATGCTTGAGAAATTAATGAAGTAAAGGATAGGGGCTGAAGTAGTTTCTAAGACTCCTGCAAAAGTAGAATCTCACATAGCCTTTGAGGTAGAGCACCAGAGCAGCCCTGTGGGGTATTTGAAAAACGAAAAAGGAGAGCCATGGAAAGATCTAAGCGATCTATTCCAGATCCCTCATGGAGACAGATGAGTAGCAACCATGTGTAGCTAGAAGGACCCAGAAAGGTGTCTGAAGACCTGTTCTGACTGCTCTGTGTGTCACTGGAAAGTAACCAAATCACTGTCTCACTTTCTTGTATAAAAAGAGGCAATAATAATGTTTTATTTGTTTTACTTCCCATGCCAGAGGCAAATGAGATAAAACCTTCAAGTGCTGTACTAGTTCGTACACCATTACTATGAGATGGAGGTGGAAAAGCAGACCACTGCAGCTCTCCTAGGCACAAAAGAGTCCCCCTCTGTCACTGGAAAGTGTTGTTCCCACTCACCCCTGCACAGCTTACCTCTTCTTTACTAACTTGATTATTTTTTAAAGTTGGGATGTGCTTTAATAATGAGTTTGCTGTCTTGATTCTTGCTCATAAGAAAAGAGAACCCATATCCTTCATATTCCTTCTTGTATTTTTTATGTATGGGAAGCAGGAGGGAAGGTAGCAGAGAATCAGGAGGGGGGTAAGAAAGCAAGTATCTGAGGATGCTTGGTCTCCATACAGGAATCCTGGGAAGAAGCTTTAAAATTTTTTGGTGGTTAGATTTCAACTCCTTGTGAAGACTCCTTTGCTATATGAGGATAGTTTAAAACTCCAAGTTTGGTAGTTTCATGGAGTAATTATTTGTAATTAGAGATACTGGAAAGGTTTGACCCTGGAGGTGTATTAGGGTCATAGGTGCTTAAATTCTTTCCCTTCCTAGACGGCTCTGTATATGTTTACTATTCGATTTTATATGAATTTTGTAAGAGTTCCATGGGAGGAACTGATTGGGCTGTGAGTTACGTGCAGTATACTTCCTGCTATGTGACTGGGGTTAGTGATGGCTGAGGCCAGGGTTACAGCAAGCACTAAAGAGTGGAGTCCCAGCAGTCTCAGGGACTACCAGATAAAGTTTTCCTGAAATGTTTGCTTCTAGGTGGGCAGTGCATCTTCTCAGTCTGTCCTTTTCATTAGTTTACTCAACAAATATTTATTGATTGCCTGCTATGATTCCTGGCCTCCTGGAGTTTATATTCTAGCGTGAAAAGCCAGATAATGAACAACACATTACTAGTATGTTAGAGAGTGAAATGTGTACTATAAACAATAAAGTAGGGGGAGAGGACAGGAGGATGTGTGTGTGTGTGTGTGTGTGTGTGTGTGTGTGTGTGTGTGTGTGTGTGTGTGTAGGGTGCAACTTCAATAAGGTGGTCAGATAAGCCCACGAGAAGGTAACACTTAAGCAAAAGACCTGAGGGAGTTGAGGGAGCTGGAATTGGAGTTTCCTGGGAAAGAATATTCCTGGTTGATGGAACCACATGTGAAAACGCTGATGTAGAAGCACACCTGGCCTGTGGGAGAAACACCAAGGAGCCCAGTCTGTACAATGCCAAGGGAGAGAGGAAGAGAGTGAGCAGTGATGGGAGGAGGGGAGGTCTGGTTCACCCTCAAGGGAAACAATTTGTTGCCTGTGTGGCTGGATAATTTTTAGGGGTGATGTTTTTCCTGTTCTTCTCCTACCACTCCATTTTCCTACCCTGTTCAAGCAGGTAATTAGGCTCTAGGTTACATTGTCTCCAGAATGATTTGTGGCAGGACAGAAAGAAGAAACTTGCCTCCAGACATGATTCTTCCTGGTTTTATGTCTGAAAGCATAAACCCATTATGAAAAATAGGGTTAAAGGAGAAAGAGAGGAATTTCCTTAGACTAAAAAGATTTTCAGAGTACTTGGAGGAATCAAGTCCTGTGGGTTCTGCAAGCAGCAAGGGCTTAGGGAAATGGCATTATTCAAACACTGATTTTCTTGCCAGGCTGACAGAATGAGGGCGTAAAGTCAGAATAGGATTGACTCAAAAGGAAATAGAGAAATGTGATCATATTTCTTTGAACTTGTAAATAAAGATTCATGTCCATTACTAGTGGCCATTATAGAAATGGATTCATAGGGCCAGTCATCTCCTTTGGCGAATACTAGTTATGGCCATTTATACTGTGAGTTAGATGGGAAAATATGAGAGCAAGTTTAGGATGAGATGAAATGGACCTAGAAGGACAATGAAGTGGAAAGAAATAAACTTGCTTTGGTGTGACAGTGTGAGAGTTGGGAATGATTTTAATAATGATACCAAACAGAACAATGTTTTCACTCGTCTAATCCTTTCCATTCATTGCTTGCAAAAATTAGGAGTAAAATAAATAGCAACAGTAGCATTGTAACCTTAAAATATAAACAGTGCATCCCTTTAAATTCTAAAATTTTTTTAGGTGAGGAGGTTGATAATGAAAAGGATTGTCAAAGTTAGCAAATTTAACTTGTCAGATATTGTGACTGATTACGAAGAAATCGTTTCTACAAGGTACGTACTAAAATTATTAAGTATGAAATATAAAGCTTTAAGCTAATATCTTAAAAATTCTCTAAGTTCTCTGTTTTTTATATTAATCAACTCATATTCCAAAAGATGCAGTTTCAGAGCACAGAGATATTATGATTTAAAATATATTTGGTTATTTTAAAGGTACATTTTGAAATATCTACATGATATGTTTTCAATTGTATAGTATTTTAGGGTAGCTTTTTGCCCTCTCCTTATTGATAGTTTTTAGGTCAAGAAATAAAAATAGAAGAAACAACTCTGTCTCAAATTAGATTTGTCCTAAGATTTTTTTTGTCCTGAGACTGCTACCTGATCATAAACTATAAAACGTGTATTGTGTGGCCAGGGTAGTCAGCATATGACTCTGGTTTCAGAACCATGGAAAAAATTTGAATGTCCAGTCATTTTCAAGAGAATAATTCCTGAAAAATGAATAATCTTCTGAAAGATCATCATGTTTCATGGCTTTACTTCTCCATGTCCTTGTCTGTTTTGGGCTGTGTAACTAAAGAGCATGGAGCAATCACATTCTTTCTCAATATGAGGGAACATGGCATCTTTTCCTTTCTATGCTCAGAAAAATATTCCTTCCTTGGGTTTAAAACAACTCTGCCTCCTCTCCATAATGGAGAGAATATGGTTCAGAACAGTGGCTTTTTAAAAAAATTAATAAGCAAATCGATATCTCTTAAAACTATGTTATCTTACATATATTGGGCTGTTTATTTTTTACTCTTTAGCCAGTTGACACATGCAGTTTGTAAGTTTGTTGAACCACGAAGAAATTTAAAGCCTCAGAGGAAAGAAAGGAAAAAAGTCACAGCACAGACTATTTCTGATGGAGATATTAAGATTCTTGTCAGAATATTGAGGGCCTATAATATTCCTACCAGGAAAACTATAGTTAATAGGTAAGACAATATGCCCCAATTTTTAAAGTTGCAAAAGATTTATGTTAAATGTGATAAATTTCCATGCTATCCTGTGTAAAGCTTTGCATTTTATTAATGCTCCATATACATAAAAAGAATGAAAGTTAAAATCTTCATTTGGGTAGTCAAACCTACTGTCAGTACCATGTATGAAGAGTTTTCAGAAGCTTGAGACTCCCAAAGTACTTTAATATGTATATTTTGGGGATATTTGCCACATGCTCACCTTTTCATGCTGTATCAAATAAATGCCTTTTGTCCCCTATTCCCTATTTTGAAAATTCTGAAGCTTCTGCTGCCCACTGCTCTGTTTCATGCCACTCTCCTCCTTCAGTATTGTAAGCAGAAAGCTGGAGAAAGCAGGTGGGACACTAATTTTGTTTTAGAAAATGTCCCAGGAAAGCTGTGAAGCAAATGTGGAATGTTTCATGAAATCAGAATTGCTACAGTTACACCCTGCTCTGTTTTGGACTTGTCATTTTAGCTGACTTCTACAAAAGTAGGATTTCACCCATTATTTCTGTATGCATTCAAGTGGGTTTTGTGTTTCTTCATCAGAGGATATGTGGGGCCAGAATGAACCTCGCCAATGGTGGCCAAATTAAGGCAGCATGAATATTAAGTGTTCATGCATATTTAGTGTATCCTGGATTTTTAGGGTCTCATACAAGTATATTTAGTGCCATGTATAACGTATATATTATGAATATTTAGTACTCAAGTGCCTCAGGAATATTAGGTTCCCCCTCTCTATCTATGTTTAACAGACATATGCTCTACTTGTTTATTTTATGCTTACCACAACCCATGAATTCTACCTATGAAAAACAAAAGTTTTGCTTACTGGCTACTAATCTATAGTTAAAATCTCTTAAAGATTTTACCTGTGTTATATAAACTACAACTGTGTTTAATCTAATAGAATTGAACATTCTCAAAACAAATGCACATTTCAAAGGCTGTTTTGTGAAATAAGGACATAAAAAATCACCACCATTATAATCATCACTTTGTAAGAGGAAGAATATTTTAATACCAAAAAAGTAGGAAGGACATATTCTCAAAGCATTATTTGCCCTATTTTTCTCCTTTTGCTGAATACAAGTGAAATTTTTATCATAGACTGGATCCAATCCATAGTTCAGCATTTAGGACTAATCACTCTTCCAGAATAGTTATTATCAAAATGTTTAGCTCTAACCGCTTATAACAATCCAAAGCAAATTCAGGGTAACTGAATTATGTATCTCCATGAACACAAGAAAAAATCCACTCACTCTTACCAAAACTAATATTGAAACTAATTAAAGTATATGTCTCTATGTTGTTCTTCCTGAAGAGCCTTGGATATGCCTGTTTATTTGATACCATCCATATCTCACCTCAGACATAAAGAAGCAATCAAATCAGTAGCCTCAGATGAGATCTTAAATGAGATAAGTATTTAACACTTCTGTAAAGTACAACATTGATTATGTTTACTCTGAATTGTAACTGGCTCCTAACTGGTCTCTCTTTGGCTTCTACTTTATTTTCCATAACACAGTGAAGGTGTTCTTTTAATTCTAGCTGTTTCATTTCCTGCTCTCAGGGTTCATAGAATAAGGTACAAGCTCCTTAGAATGGCTACAGAATCTTTAATGATCTGGTCCTTGCCTACCAGTCAGCTTCATCTCTCTCCACCCCGCAGTTCTACCATATGTACTACTGCTTGTTCTACAAGGCCTCTACTAGTTTCCTTTGCTTTGAATAGCCTCCATACAGTTCCATATTATCGGCCAAATGAACTGCTACTTAAGGTTTTAAAGGCTAAGCTCAAGCAATATTTTCTCTGTGATTCCCTCCTTGTTCTCACCCAAGTTAATCATTCCTTCTCATGAGTAACTATTATACCTTGAGTATATTTCTCTCATTTTATTTCTCACATTTCATTGGACCTATTTGTTCACTTATTTATTTTCTCCTTGTAGACTATTAAATCCTTAGGGAGAAGTTCTATTTATCTTTGGATCCTAAAAAAGTACCTGATACAGAATAGGACCAGTAGATGTTTATTAAATGAATGAATGAATCATTATTTTAAAAACTGGAAAAACTGTTTTAAAAACTGGAAAAATTGAGCCATCCAGTTGTCTAGTAATGTCTTAGCTTTCTACCTTCAATTACATAAAATATTACAAAAATCTAGTCAGTATTTATTATGTATTTCAGGATACTGTACACCCTTTTGTGGAAGTTTCTTTTCAACACATTGTGTACCAAACTAACACTGCAAGTGGATCTCATCCATGCTGGAATGAAGAAATTAAAGTAGATTTTATGTAAGTTGGAGTTCATTTTTCCACAGCTCCTAAAAAAGGGCAATAACCAAATTATTTTCTTGAGCCATTTACTGAAAATAATGATTGAGATAGGCTTTGTCTTTTAAGCTTTTTAATTATGATATATTTTATACATATAAACTAATATATAATATATATATAAATGTGTGTTCTGAAGAAAGATATTAAAATGAATACCTGTTTATCTACCATCAGTTTAAAAAGTAAAATATTACCAATACCTAAGAAGGTCTTTTGTGTCATTACCTAATTGCATCCCCTTTCTTTCCTCTCAGAGGTAACAACGGTGAATTTGTGTTTATAATTTTCACTCTTCCTTTATGATTTTATTTCATAGGTATTTATCCCTAACTATGTGTTATTTACTTATGCATGTTTTCAACTTTATATGAATTGAGTCACATTTATGTATTCTTCTGCAAACTTGTTTCTTTTAATTGTTTTGAAAGATTCATTCATGTTCATGCTTGTAGCTGTTTGCTATGGTCTGAATGTGTCCCCGAAAGTTCATGTGGTGGAAACTTATTTCCCAATGCAACAGTGTTGGGAGGTGGAAGCTAATAGCAGGTGTTTAGTCATGAATGGATTAATGCTATTATAAAAAGGGCTTGCAGGAGTGGGTTCACCCTCATGTGCTCTTCTGCGGTAAGGACATAGCATTCATCCCCTTTTTGTCCTTCTGCTATATGAAGACACATCAAGAGGGCCCTTACCAGATATCAGATACCAGATGCTGGCACCTTGGTCTTGGACTTTCAGCCTCCAGAACTGTGAAAATATATATTTCTAGTCTGTATAATAAATTACCCAGTCTCAGGTATTCTGTTATAGCAACACAAAATGGATTTAGACACTGTTTGTTTATTTATTTTCACTTCTATATAATATTCCATTGTATGAAAATAATTTGTTTATACTTTCTTCTGTTGATGTACATTTGTCTTGTTTCCAACTTTTTGCCATTGCAAACAGTGTTGTTCTGGACATTCTTGTACATGTCTTCCGGAGCACATGTGCAAGGTTTTTTTTTTTAAGACAGTGGCTTTCAAACTTTTTTTGTTCATTAGAATCACCTGGACAGCTTCTTAAAACACAGATTACTGGGCCCACTTCTCTAGTTTCTAATTCTGGGGTCTGGGGTAGGACCCGATAATTCCATTTCTAGTAAGTTCCTAGTTGGTACTTATGCTGTTAGTCAGGCAACAACACTTTAAGAACCTCTGCTAGGGCCGGCCTGTGGCTCACTCGGGAGAGTGCGGTGCTGATAACACCAAGGCCACGGGTTCGGATCCCATATAGGGATGGCCGGTTTGCTCACTGGGTGAGCATGGTGCTGACAACACCAAGTCAAGGGTTAAGATCCCCTTACCGGTCATCTTTTAAAAAAAAAAAAAAAAAAAGAACCTCTGCTATAGGGCAGATGTCCAGGAGTGAAATTGCTAGGTTGTAGTTGAATTCAGCTTCAACTTTACCAGATAATGCCAAACTGTTTTCTACAGTGATTGTACCGATATACACTCCCAACAGTAGTACAATAAAATTTCCTGTTGTGTTGATCTAAAATAGTACTCCCATTGAGGTTTAATTTATATTACCTTATTTAATGAGGTTGAGCTTCTTTTTTGCAATTTTTAAAAAATTAACACATTTTATATTTTAGAAAAGTTTTAGGTTCACAGTTGAGTGGAGAGTACAGAGTTCCCACATGTCCCCTCACCCTAGCACACATGGAGCCTCCCTCAGCATCAACATCCTTCATCAGTGCACTACATTTGTTACAATCCATGAATAAACACACTGACACATCATTTTCAACCAAAGTCTGTATCTTCAATAATATTTTATATTAAGTTTACATTAGGTTTCATGGTTTGAGCTTTGCATTCTATGGGTTTTGACAAATGTATAATTACATGTATCCACCATTATAAGCAAGTCCAACATCTGCAGGGTGGTATGGCAGGTTGGAGACCCAGGGAGGAGTTGCATATTGAGTCTGAAAGCAATCTGCTGGCAGAATTCCCTCTTCACGGGAGAAGGCAGTCTCTTTTATTACAGCTGTCAACTGATTGCATGAGGCCCACTCTTATTATGGGGGGTAATCTGCTTTACTCAAAGTCTCCTGATTTAAACTGCATCTAAAAAAATGCCTTCACAGAGACATCTAGAATGATGTTTAGTCAAATATTTGGGAACCTTGGCCTAGCCAAGTTGACACATAAAATTAACCATCACAGTCGTATGTATAGTTGGAATCAAATCAGGCTGGCATCTTTCACTTACTAATATGCCTAAAAGGTTCTTTCATGTCTTTTCGTGACTTGATAGCTCATTTCTTTTTATCACTGAATATATTCCATAATATGGGTGTATCATAGTTTATTTATCCAGTGACTTTGAGCTTCTTTTCACAGGCTTACTGGCCATTGGTATTTTCTTTTCGGTGAAGTGCCTTTTCATGTATTTTGTGCATTTTTCTATTGTTTTGTCTGACTTTTTTTTTTTAAGGAATTCTCTATATATTAGGGATATCAGCCCTTTGTCAGTTATATGTGTTAAAACTATCTTTCCCTAATGGCTTGGCTTTTCATATTATTTATATTTTGATGAAAAGTAGTTTTTAATTTTACCAGTTTTTTTCCTTTTTGTTTTGTGCTTTTTAAAAAAAATTTTTTTGTTTTTGTTTTTTTGTTTGTGTTTTTTGGTGGCTGGCTGGTAAGGGGATCTGAACCCTTGATCTTGTTATCAGCACCATGCGCTAACCAAGTGAGCTAGCCAGCCAGCCCCCAAATTTAAAAATTTTTTAATAAATAGTGGACTTACTTTATTTTCCTTACTTTAAAACTTATGTCAATTTGCATTAAAGTTTTAGACCACTTGCACTTTCTAAAAAATGAGCAAAGATGTTTCCCTATAATAGTCCTGTATATAAAAGCTATTTGGAATTGAAATAGTTAATGAGCCAGATCTTAAAATCCAAAAAGAAATATACACCTATGTTCCTTTTCGCTATCACGAAGTAACAAAACAGATGTGGACTAGAATAATCCTGTAACTAAATATGGTGTTTAGGAACACACACACACACACACACACACACACGACCCAGTGAAAATTAACCTAATTCCATATCCACTTCCTCTAATATTGCTTTGTTTTACTGCTGGTAGAAATGTCCCTCATGAACAAGTATCTGTAACTATTAAATATCTAACATTTTCCAAATAATATAGTTTTATTTTTATACATTTATTTTATACATTTGTATATGTAAAGTAGAATTGTCTTATGGATTAGCCATATATGATTTATATGATTTTCTGTTATTTATTTTATATAATTTCTATGATAATTTCATATTATTTCATAGTTCATATATGATATAATTTTATATGATTATTTATATGATTTAGGTGCTTTGTCTAATGCCTGTGTTAATGTATATTCCCCACCAATAAAGGCTAAGAAAACTCAGAAGTACTGACATAATCACTTGCATATGAGGAGGTCTTCAAAAAGTTCATGGAGAGCTGGCTGGTTAGCTCAGTTGGTTAGAGCATGGTGCTGATAACACCTAGGTCCAGGGTTTGATCTCTGTACCAGCTGGAAAAAAAAAATTCATGGAAATATTCATATTATCTTTTAATTCCATTTTTCCACAAACTTTCAGAAGTACCCTTGTACACAAGTATGTGATGACATCTTGTGAATTATATAAATATTCACATTCCAGCAGACACTTCTCAAAGTGAAAGCCTCCAGACCCTAACCAGGATTCATAAAGAAAGGGGGATTCTGTTTATGCCATTATTTCAGCTTCGGGAAAACCCAAATGGACCAGTAAACCTTGGAATTTTGTTAGCTTAGATACTACGGATATTTCTGCCATTAGCAAAAATCAAATTTGTTCTTCCAGATTCAACACAGGTTCAGTTATATTTTCAGAGTCTTTGGCCAGAGTTCCTAAACAGATATACTTGTTATTTGGCTGGCCCTATGGATCTACCTCTTGCTTTGCCTTGTTCTCTGACACTTGCTTTCCTGACCCTTTTATTCTGTGTGTGTGAAGGACAGTATAGATTTAAAAGAAAATCTATTATGTAGTATTGTATAATGTTAAGTTAAATAATTAGTATATAAAATATATTTGCTTTAAAAGTTTGTCAAGATAAAATATGGGGTTATGTGTGTTTGGAAATGTTTGGAATATTAATTTAGACATTTAGAGTTTAATATATACTTTATTAAATTGATCTAGGAGAACATAAAACAGTCAATAAGATAAACACACTTATAAGTGAACTAGAGAAAGCTGTAGTGTTTACATTCTTGCAATTATAGCAGTGAGATAAGCCAGGAACACATTTGGAGTACAACCAAGTGAAAAAGGCAAAACTGTCCAGCAACACTTTTCGTTGCCTCCAATAAAAGACCCCTCTTCCCCCCTTACTGTGACATTTTGGTGAATAAAAACCACATGCAAATGGAATAAACAGTAACAACAAATATTAAGTAGTAATTAGCCCTGTGAGCCCTACTTTTGAGGAGGAATTGTGAAATTTGGGGAAAGCTTGCGTAGAATACAAAATGCAAGATAATGCAGAAGGACTTGAGGAATATACTAAGTGACAAGATCAAAAATGTCTTGAGGACGATAGTTGTCCTTTCTCCTGCTGGCATAGTGTTGTAAATGTACGTTGCCTCCCCTGCCCTGCCTTAGGTTGTTACAATATGAAAGGAAACCCTTGAGAAGCAAAGTAGGGTAGTTAGCTTGTTATTTTATCACTTGGAAATACTCATATTAGGAATCTTCAACTTAAAATTGTTCTTTAAAGTCAACTAGCATTTTTCAACTGTTACTTCCTATAGGCCTCAGAAAGTTATAGAAACTGTTGGAGATCCTTTGAAATAGTAGTTGCTTCCTTAAGCAACAAGCTTCAACAAATAATGTCAGTGGCAGTTATATAGTGAAAAAACCTGGTCTTTGGAGTCAGTCAGAACTGGGTCCAGATCAAGGCTTTATCACTTGCTGGTGGCATTGCTATTTAACTTCTCGGAGCTTCAGTTTGCCCATGTAAAACAACCTACTGTAGAGGATTGTGATTTTCATTTCTATTAGACATTTGATGGAGATTCAATACATAAGCTGAAGCTGAGAGTTCATTGCTTGTGATACACAATATCCTTTCCACTACCTTCAAAATGTACCCCGTCAAGTAAGCCATTGGTAGACAGCTTGCAAAATTAAATGATCTCCATTATCCCAAATTATGGTTGGAGAAAATAAATATGGGAAAGAGAATAAGCTCTGTGGATAAACAGCCATACCTTATTAACTGAGAGCAAAAGAACATTTTTAACTATATGCGTGAACTAGCAGAAACTAGCAGAATTTAAGATAGTTAGAAAATCTTAATGCACCATACCCAGATAATCTGTTTGCAATGAATGGATATAGTGCAAGCTTTTCTGTTTGACATTTAAACATTTTATATTTTTCATCTTAAGAGAGATATAAGACAAATTACAGAACATGTGCTGGCTTTAATGAAGGTCAGCAGCCAGTCTTCAAAGCATATAGCTTTTTCTTAGTTTATACTTTATAAAAGAAAACACAGGTAACTTTATAGTTGTATAATGCTCTCAGAAAATAAATGGATTTTGAAAAAATTAAGCATTTAAATGTTTTTCTTATTTGCAGCTCACCAGAAAATGATTACAGCTTCTCAAGATTATCTAAAATAAAAGATTATATATATATCAACATTTTTGATGAAATGGTGATTGAAAAACATAAGGTAAAGTAGAATAATTACAGTAATCAATGTTGAAATAATTATCTGAAGGTCAAACTAAATGAAGTCTAGTAACATATTTATAAATTTGCCTTTAGATGTGATATCTATATCCAAAATAAAGGATTTGAAGCAATTTGCAATAAAATTAGACATATGACAAGTTAGTTAAAAAAAAACAACACAGATCATAAACCACACATAGGAGGAAGAGGGATAAATATACTAAGAACTTGGGAGAAGTAGGTTTCTGCAATTGAATATCACATTTAAATGTGAGCTTCCAGGTAGCTAAGACAGAAAGATAAACAAAAATAGTTTATATATTTCTCATTATCTTGATCAAAGAAAATATACTACTTGTACAAAAGAGACCAAATTATTCCTAGGACTAAAATTCAGTTCTATTTAATCTAATTTCTAAAAGTACTGAATGTCTTCCTCATAGATATGGGAAATTTTCTAACACAATGCCTAGTGCCATAGCAAGCTCTGAAATAAATGTTAGTTTCCTTCCTATAGAATTAGACACTAAAAATATGAAGACATATACCCATTGTATCTACTCTATTGGGGTATGTAAATTAAATGCTTTAATATAAATTTCTAAAAATTCTATGGCAAGATTATTAAAGGAGCAATTTACCTGGAGGGACCGGTACCCAGGTCAGAGAAGTTGAATGATAACTTGAAGTGAATGGTTCAGGCTTCTGTAAAAACAACTGAGAATCATAATGGCAATGTCTTCAAACCCAGTTTGCCAGGAGATATGACACACATTCTTATTAAAAAATTTTTTTATCAACTCTTGATAAAGGCTGACAGTAAAATATTAAACAGTAATTTGGTGACAGCTTTTCTTTACAGTGTTAAACTGAATAGTTTTCTGATTATTTAAACTGATAATGATGGGTAGAGCTTAGAAAACCCAATGGAATGCCTGACTGATTTTCTCTTTCAAATGTGAATTATTTCAATGACCTATTTGACCAGAATTGAATAGCAGATGATTAACAATTGAATACTTGCAAGTTCTTTGCCTCGTTATTGGAATAAACTCATATGCTTTAGTTATCAGACTTGTTTGTGACAATGCTGGCACACTATTTAGAAAAGGGCCTTATATTCTTGCCCTCTTTTCATGCACTGGGTTGCAGGGTAACTATTGGCCAAGCATTCCATTTTCCAGTGAAAGAGTAGAGGTAGGTTGAGCCCCAAGATGGCCACTCAGCTGAAAGAAGGTTTTGGTCTATCATTGAACACTATTCTGTCTAGAAATGCTTCAATTCACCTTTCTTTTCTTTATGTCTCTCCTGTAGTTTTTCTTCAGGCTGTCAACTGTTTCTCACCACAGATGATCTTCATTAGTTCCGAGCTAGCAGAAAGCAAAGACTTGAAAGCCTCTCAGACACATAGCCTGTTTTTAACACTGAGGATGAATGAGCTGGACTAAACTGCATTTCGAGCTGGCAAAGCAAGCCCATAGCACCACTCCAGATTTGGACCCTAGGTTAACTGAAACTGTAACAAAAATCCCAACAGCAACAAAAAGATCTTAAATTAATCCAATATATGAATATTGGTTTCACTGCCTCTTTTTTTAAAAAAGAAAAATTAGTGGGCCGGCCCCGTGGCGCACTCGGGAGAGTGCAGCGCTGGCAGCACAGCGACACTCCCACCACGGGTTCCGATCCTATATAGGACTGGCCGGTGCGCTCACTGGCTGAGCGTGGTGCGGGCGACACCACACCAAGGGTTGCGATCCCCTTACTAGTCACAAAAAAA